AATTGGTGTCACATATCACACAATCTCTCGTATTGACAATGTCGACTGGCCATCAAAGTTGTACAATTTGTAGGACGCGAAAGACCGTGTTGATGCGAATAAACTTTTACCTCTTCATTACTTGAAAACCAACGTTCGTCAAGCTATGGCTGAGATACCGCCTACTATGTGCCAAAAATTGCTCGAAAATTTACCCAAATGAGTCGAAGCTTGAATATAAATTTTGTTGACGGGGTTATTATTCCTTAGCCCACAGAGTTTCGCTAACTTCTCTGGTATTATTTCGATCAGTGTCAGGCTCACTTTGTTTCCTCCATTGCACCCAATGCGGCTTATGATATGACCGAAACATTTTTTCTTGAATTTCCGGCTTAAATTTTGTTTAGAGAATTGCCTATAACGTTCTTTGTCTGTTCAACTATATTATTTGACGTTTGCTGATTCTTCCTCGAACTCAACATTCATTCATTCATAAGAGGCAGTTTTTAACATTGTATATGCGGTTTGAAGCAATTTTGTACCAATAACGGTAGAATTAGCTTTTAAATTAAAATTAAAGCAATTCCTAACTGTAGTTAAAATATGAAACCTTTCACATATTGGCATTGATGGTGACGAAAAAAGGAGAGAGAGAATGAAAAATGGCATAGCAAGTAGAAAAATCAGCCAAGAAAAATAAGCAAACCACTTACATTCGAGTATGTGTATGCGTGTGCGTTAAGTTTGCATTTTTCCCAACAATTTTTGCAGAAAAGTGCAAGGGAAAACTTTTCCGATTACGCAATCTGCATTACACATAAATCAGCATTTCTTATCCCGACTCGTCACTCTTGCGCCCCGTCCCAGCTGCCGTGTTGTTGTCGCAATGCCGTAGTGAAGAGCGGAAAGATGTTGGTTTGTATGTGTGCATGTGTGCATGTGTGTATGGGTGTGTGTGCACGAGTATAGCAGGAGTAAGAGAAAAGTGTTGCATGATAATTGACTAAGTGCGGAGTGAATGAGTGGGCGTCGAAATGCAAACAATGACAGTCACAAAAATAAACTAATGTATGCTGGCATATATAAATAGGCGTACAAATGCATATATATACATATGCGAGTATTTACATACTGGTAAACATATGCATATCGTTACCACTCGCTGTGGGCTAGTGCAAGTCATTGTGTTGGGTGTGAGGTTTTTTTTTTTTTGCATAATACGTGCTTTATGGTTCCTAAACATGACATATTTGCAGTTGCTATTCGACAATTTCTTTGAAACTGAAATAAAATGTGAGTTTCTGTACCGCACATACATATGTACAAACATTATCTAGATATACTCGTATGTAAATGGCGCTTTGTAAGTGGCTTAAGCGATTTTTGGCCAGACTTTTGGTAAGAATTTAGTCATTGGTCTGGTTGGCATTTGAGCTCGCGACCGCCGGTTCATGATACAAATCGCACATGAAATGTGTAATTCAGTGAATTTTTGGCTTTTAGTTAAAAATCATTATTTCGTGGAAATACTTTCGGCATACTTTTCAAATTGAGTGCATTATCGTATTAAATAAATTTTAGGTTTTAATTAATTAACATTCGAAGGATTTTGCAGCAAACGTGAGATTGAGAAATCGATAAAAAATTGGGTTAACCTTAAAAAGAAAATTATTTTTTAATTTTTGTAAGAAATTGCTTAAAGTGACTTTAGATTTTTTTTGTAGCAACGGTCCGTAATATTGGGCTATAAACATAAATATGATCCCGTTGCTAAAACTGTGAATATATAATAATAAATAACGCAAATGAGAACCAACAGTATTTTATATAAGCACAAAAAAAAAAATATATAAAGACAGCAGAGATCGGCTACAGTCAAGCTCAACTTTTGAAAGCGTTAAAAACGAGTTTAGCGGCGTAATCACTGCCTTAACATAGCTGAATTTAGTTTCTATGTAGTTTTCTGGTTCAGCGGTGGAAAATTGTATCTTTCTAGGTTCTCGAATGTCCAGTGTTAGTTATTCCACTGATTTAGCTTCGTTAGTCGAAGAACGGCTAGTGTTGCAGTCTGAAACCCCATAAAACCTATTGGGAAAAATATCGGGTATTTTATTTGGCGTGGTCATGGGCGCATTACTTTAGCTAATCATCGCCGATCTTTGAATTCTACAGCCACCCAGTATTGGTATCAAGACTGATGCAAAGATCCACTGACCGATTTTAGCGGTTAAACTTCATTTCTTAAATGTATGTAGGGCGATGGCTTTCCAGTTCAAGCTCTTGTTCCAAACTACGCCCAGAAATTTTACCTTGCTTCCAAGGCTTAGGTCAACCCCAATTTAAAATTGGTGGGTTTATTGTCGGAACTTTACACTACTTTAGTGAAAATTTTGAAATAAATGACTCCTCCATCTTTAAAGCAAAAATTTCTTGTATAAAATATATTTTTTTTTTTAATAAAAATAAATTTCAATAATTTCATTTCAGTAGAAAAAATTATACAAATATATTCTACAAATATTTCTAAAACTCTAACTTCACATCAACAATTATTGTATTTGACATTTTGCGCCCAAAAATATGCTTCATTCAATCGAGAAGTTGGCTAAAATAAATGAGAAAAGAAGGAAGGCAGCCAAAAGTGGCTTCTCGCTTTCTGCGCTATTTTATGTCTTCGTCTTTGTTGTTATTTTATTATTGCTCCCTAAATAATTGTAGATTCCCAGCGACATTATCTCGCCGATGGCAGCAAATAAACATGAGCTTTGTTCGAAAGGGTAATAAAGAGTGTATACACATAGAGATATAAATAATGTTTTTTGTTGTTGTAGCTGACGCTAAAGTGCTGAAGCTTCATTATAGCTGAACGCCAACTAACAACACTGCGCACACATAGAAGACTTCACTCTCTCGCACAGACGAACTCCCAAAACGCCTGCTAAAATATATACAACCATACATGTACATATATGTATATATAAATGTATGCATATGTACGTGCTTGTACACAAGTGCCTATGCGTTGCTGCTGAGGCATTTGGTTTTTGGATATTCTGATATTTTCGTAGTGAAGAACCACAAAAGGCGGCAGCAGCGGCGGCATCGCACAGCTTAGAACGCACAATTTGTAAATGTTACGTATACGCCTTGGCGAACCACTCAGCATACATATGTACAGTACAAATGAGTATGTTTTGCTGGCAACTGACAGACTGCCGAACTGACAGAGTGACAAACCGAACGGGATTGACTTCGCTTCATGACTGTAAATTGTTGCTGCTGCTGTTGGTGTTGGTGTCGGTGGGTGCTGAACGCACACTTGGGACCGTTGTGTTGAGAAGTTAGAAATGTAATCGATGTGTGGATGTGTGGATGTGCAGATGGATGTTGGAGTATCTATTTTCATACATAGATACATACATATGTACGTGTAAGCCTCCATATCTTTACTGCTAACGAATGTATGAATGACTTTAAGGTTGATCAACTGACTTGCACAACTCCAATGGCTTGAAAAATTACTGACAGCCAACTAAGGGGGCACTGATTTGCAGTTAAATTTTGTAAATTTCATATTTTTGACGCGCGTGTGTGTGTTTTTGAAGATTTTTATATAAGTCTCGTTAAGATTTTATTTAGTGTTTTGATTATTAGATTTCTCTTTAGCTCTCTTTTCCCTACACTGAGACCATCAGAGCCGCTTGGTGTATTTAAGACATTTTTCTCTTACCCTTGGACAGTGGATGACTTGCTGAAAAATGTATAATCCTGCCTTTAGAAGCATCTAGAGCGCCATCAAAGTAGAGCTTCTCTGAAGCTTTACACCAGTCGGAGGTTTTTGCTTCTTGAAATAACCAAACTCCTCAAATGCGTACCAGTAGTGCTACTATTCACAGGTCCTTGGAAAAAATGTTGTGAGTTCATGTTAAATTCTAGAGATTTTCATATTTTAGGAGGTAAAGTTCACGACACACGCACATACTGATTTGAGTTCAGGTCTTTCACCCCATAACACTAAACTGTTCAACACGCTTTTTTAAAGAGTCACTCGTACCATCACTTTCAAAAGCTTTCTCCATATGAGGGACTTGAAGAAGGGAGACTAGCAACCCAACATTTGATGACGACCACTGCAAACATTTTGAGGGCAATGATCCAAGAGCATTAACACGAAATATCCAGTTCGTTAATTGGAAAAGAAGCTGGCTGGTGGTCCTCAAGAGGCCGGCAATACCACTGATCAAAAATCGTTTAAAATTTCACGGGACAAAATGAGTAGGTCCTTGTGTATGGGATTCGTGGTGGGAGAAAGACTAGGCATTAAAGCACAACAAATTGCTCAACCCGTCTCAGTAACCCCCACATTATTTCTGCTTAATCCAAATTGGATAAAGAAAAGAGGGGAATGGGCTTTTTAGATAATTCCGAATGTATTCAACAATGTCCGCCTTGAAATCTCATTTAAAATCACTCTTACAAACATTGAAAAGTAAAATCCTCTCTCGGCGAACAGAGACCACAGTCTACCAGTGCCTCATGGACAATATCCGATGAACTGTGCGCGATTTGCGCTGATATTTACCTAGTTCAGTGAATTAAGAGGCAGCAGCTACGCTGTCTAGGTCATGTCGTCCAAACAACATGGCAACTTTGAAGTTTTCCGACACTTTCACTCGTAGGTGAAAGCAAGGGAAGACCTTAACTCTCTTGAAGTGATGAAGTCGGGAAAAACTAACTTCTCTGTGTGGCTCCAACTGGCGCCGAAAGGCTAACTAACTTAATCGCTGTTGTTGATTTGCTAATAAACCTGCCTACGGCAGAAAGGAACAAGAAGAATGCTTCGAACCCAACTATCAAAGTGACGCAAAGCCAGAGTTGTATAGAATGTATCTACACAAGAATGAGCTTAGCCAACACGATCCGATATAAATAACGCACAAAGTATGTTCGCTACTACGAGTATATAATTCAAACGATTTATGTGAGATATAAAAAGAAATCTAAATAAAGTTGTTATTTACCCTTTCCGTTAATTGCAGCAAATCCGATGGTTTCATTGTACCACACGTGTGGCCGGTCGCCCCTCAGAATGTGCTTTTATTGCTTGGCAGCGCGCTGCGACCAGCTGGCGCAAAGCTGACTAGTTGCCTGGTTGGTTGTTTGGTTGGTTGGTTGGTTGGCTGATGCTGTTGCTGCTGCTGCCGCCTGTAACTGAAACAGTGGTGCTCGCCTGTCGACGGTCGTCTGTGCTGCCTCCGTCTTGCTTTCGCTACTGCTAATGTTATTCTATTCGCGTTTTCGTTTTACAAATGGCACAAACAGTTCTGCTGCCTGTTTGGTGGGTGCTGATTAGAGCTTCACAGTGTGAGCAGGTCACCGCTTATTAGCTATTTTCGCGTTTTTATTTTAACAATTTTCCCTGCACTTTGTGTTGTTGCTTCCAAGAATATCACGTTATTTTTCTATTTTACTTTTCAGTTTGCTAACACGCCTGCTTCCCTTCTTCTTCGCTTTAGCGTTGCCTCCCACTCAATTAAAGTGCTGTTTCTTCGTGTTGTTCTTCCTTCTTCCTCCTTTTTCACTTTGTATGTATTTTTTGCAATATCCTGTATGTTGTGTGCTTACTCCGCCCGCAATTCGCGTTCTACTGCCACACTCTCTACCGCTGGTTTTGGCTTGCTTCTGCTACTCCTGTCAACGCTTCGCCTGTCACTTCGTTGTTATGTATGTATGTGCTTCAATTGATTTTATATGCATCTGGCAACGTCATTGGCCGTATTCAACAGTTCCCAACAGCGCTCGGAGTCCGACCAGACCACTACCACCAGCACTTGAGCGAAGGTGTTGATGACTGGTGCAGAGCAGCTGTGACTCTTCCACTCTACCAAAATGATGGCAGTGACGATGGCAACGATATTGAAGACGACGTTGGGTTTGTATGTACTTGGTTATTATTTTTGTTGTTGTTGTTGTTGTTGCTACTTTTGCTACTACTCGACTGTGTGCCACACCAGCTGTTGGTGTTGTTTTGTTTTTTGTGTTTATTTTTGTAGTTGGTGCACTTGTTGTTGTTGTTGTTTTGGTTTCGATTATAGCATTTGTTGGTTTTTTTGAGCTTTAAATTAATCATTTTACATTTCGCCGCCCATTGCCAATGACAGTTCACTTACACACACATATACATATACGTGTATGTATGTATATAGTTTTCTTTGTATTTTTGAAGCCCCTACATGCCTACATACGTACATTTATACATATTTGTAATGAAAAACGTGGAATTGGTAAAAGAAATATCCTTATACACCAGTTATACATACGATTATATGTATGCACATACATACGTGTATGTGAAAATATGTACATATATACACAGGTGGAAATTGAAATTAAATTGCAGAAATATTTCGATTTCGCAAATATGTAGAAAAAATTTAATTTTTTTATTTTTATTTTTATTTTATTATTATTATTATTATTATTATTATTATTATTATTATTATTGTTATTGTTATTATTCTATTTAAATTACAATTATATTAAGTTTTCAATAGTTTCTGTTTTTACATTTCATAGAAAAATTTTATTTGTTTTAGAAAATTTTTTAAACTAAAATTTGTGAGCTTGCAGATTTCAAAGTAAGATTTCGAAACGTAAAATTTTATTTTCGAATCTATGTTCTATATATATGTACATATAAAACTGTTAGTATGCATGTTTGCTTTCTGTAATCTCCAAAACTACCCGGCGGCTTTATATTTTGACCGTTTATTTCGATGGGTTTTGGAAAGATTTGTACGAATCAGTTTTTTTCGGAAAGTGAATCAAGAACAGATCTATTCGAAAAATCTTATTTATGGTTCGATTTATTTGCAATTCCATACATACGAGTATATAAGTGGCATTTTGCTCAGATTATCAGAAGGGCTAGGAAACTGGCTATTTTTCACGGTACGGACCAGACGGAGAGGGATGTTACATAGATGGGTTGGGTTTAGGCAGTACGTAAAGAGGTGGTTATCATCGTGTGGAGACTCACTGCATACAGGCCATATGTTGGGAATTTCGCGGAATTCAGCCGACTACAATAACCAGACCTTAACTCTGCCAGTATTACTCGGCTCTCTAAAGCTAAAGCTCTTGGTCTGCTATAGGTAGAGGTTGTATTCCGAGTACGCCATTCATGAGTAGGGAGCTTTTAAAAATGTTTCTCAAAGTATTTTTTGGGGAATATTGCGGAAGTGACAGTCCTAGGCTGGATAAAAAATCCGAGACATTCCGGTATAAAGACTCGACTGTCGCAGGAACTATTGGATTTTAGTCGCCTCTTACGACAGGCATACCTTACCGCGGGTAAATTCTTGAAACCCTAACCCGCAGGGTGGCTACAACCCTTCTATTGTGCCTCAGCTTCCAAGATATCTGCTTTTTTAACTGGGAGCATAGATGTTTCCCTATGTAAGCGGTGCCTGGGCAACATCATGGAGTCTACCATCTCAGTCCTCTTGCTAGCCTTTGGCATACAGTTCAGCGCAGATTAGTTAACGATTGGTGGAGAAAATGCGAGCATTTTTGTTCTCCAATTGTTCCCAACAGAAAAGTTTCTAGAGAAAACCAGAGTTTGTTCTAAACCGTCTCAGAACGGCTGATGGATTTTTATGGGAAGCGTGTCAGAAAACTTCTCGAGGGGGGTTGACATTCAGTGCTGAGGGCCTACCGCAATTTATTGAACGTTTCATGAAATTTTATATTAACCTTGCTCTTAAGTACGTGAGTTCCAAATGGAGAGGAGAAAGAGCCTTAAAACTTTATACGGATCGGGACAGAATGACGAGTTCTGTTCGTATATGATGAACTACGTATTGGTCGTGAAAATTATCGAAAAAAATAAATGCGTCTTTCGGTCGTTAAAAGGCACCGCAAAATTATATACCCTTTTTTCTAGAATAACATAATAAATTTGAGGAGCAGCAGCTCCAAAAAACTTGCTTATGAAGCGAAAATTAAACTTCAATTAAATTAATATTTTTTATTTATTTTTTGATTTTAACACATACATATGTATAGATGCATATGTATAAATTTATTTTTGGTATAAAGCGCTCCGAAAGTTCCTGGTGTGGTTACAAGGCGCAATCCTTTTTTATTCATTGCATCATATCAAAATTGTCATTAAATCAATTTAATATAAATTTTTAATTTTTTATTTAAATTTTGATTCGTATTTCATTCCATTTCGTTTAAACGTACTTTATAATAATTTATTTGAATTATTCACTTTTTACACGAATTTTCAGTTTTTATCTGGATTTTCTCCGCTGGAAAATAGTCTCTCCCGAAAATTTACATAATTCGCCTGCCACCACCGCACCGACGGACAGGTGTCATTAATATTCGTCATTTAAACTTCTTAAAAATTTACGCTTTTACATTGTTTTTTTTCGCGTTTTACACACATTCACGATTCCAGCTTTGGTCCTGTGCGCGTGTTTTTTCCTGCTTATTTTTTGTGGTTACCTTTTGTACACTGCGAACTACATGCATACATATACGTTCATATAAGTATGTATGTACATTCGTTCACCTTCACTTTCACTACCATTTAACCTGTGTTGTTGTTGTTGTTGTTGTTGTTTCTCGACAAAACGAGCCACAAACTTCGATTTCGTGTTCCTCAGCACCACCGTTCTCGGCCGTCAGGCAGTCGGCAGCGCTAAGTTGTTGGTTTTTATGTCTGTCGAGCGACTTCACTGCCTTTTATGTGCTTGCTTTTAGTAAATTTTTCTATATACAAACCTACATACATACATACATACATACGTATAGATATATGTACATATGTACGTGCACTAAGGCGGGGGCGGCACTTCGCAATCGACCAGCGTTGTAAATTTGCAAACAGGCAAACAGAAAAAATATATAAAAAATACATATATACGTATATATGTACGTGTATGTGTGAATGTTTAAAAAAAAAAAAATAATTAAAAATATAAAATTACAAGAAGTAAAAACGGAATTTTTCTCGAAGGAAATACCAGTTAAGGCTCGTTGATTTTTTACAGATTTTTGCCAATTTTCGAATTTTTGTGCCATGAATTTGTTTAATTTATTTTCAAGTTAGCTTCACCATCTCGGTCTACCTTGGTCCACCAGCGTCGTTTTAATAGGCGTTTACGCTCACAAAACAAACCAAGCTAATCGTCTAACAGTTTGCGCTAACCACTGTATATTTAATTTCTTCTATATTACACCATTTCGTAATTCGTTTAAATTGGTCCTTATTCAATTTTTGTTCACTTGGCTTGGCTCGCTGCACTTAGCGCACTGACTGAAGAGTCGCCATGAATGATTGCAATTCACCCGAACGATGGCCTCTAACTTCACGCGACATAAAAGCCGCGAGAGTGCCGCACTCCAACTCACTAGCAGCTGAGCGTGCTAGTTGGCTCTCCACAGCTGGAGAGTCCTTGTAGGGTTATTGCGAAAAGCTTTCGTCCATGATGCCGATAGCCGACAGCCGACAGCGAAATGATTTGACCGACGAGGTGAAACGAAATGGTAGACACTCGTTAGCGAAAAAAAAAATGAAAAAAGAACAAAACCAAGAAATTGTGTATATATATGTAGACAAGCGCCATATTTTTTGTGCCTTAATCGTTTTTGACGTCTGCCCTGTCTTTTTACTTAAAATTTATTATTTTTTTATTATAAACATTACCACACACACACATACACTTTGCACTTGTTTAATTTTTTTTATAGTTTTTTTTACTAAAGTAGCGAAATTTCCCGTTATCTCTACACCATATATGTGCATCTATGTACTATGTATGTACAGAAGTGTGTAGTCTGCTTAACTTTCACTTTACTTATCCGCAACTGTCATCCTTTTCCATGTACTCTACTCAGCAAGTTGCCAATTCACTCTGCTTCTTTGGCGCTTGTGGTTTCAATGTCGCCAATGTCCTCTGTCCTCTGTCCTCGCTCTGACACTGTGTTCCGTTTCCGTTCGCTGTGTTCTCTTGTAGGTAGGCCGCTTTACTGTTATTTTCTT